CCACACGCAGTGGAAGAAGTGCTCTGGATCTGGCATCTCAAAAAGGTAATGCTGAGGTGGTCCGTTTCCTGGCAAAGATCCGGAGCGAATCGCCCCCAAGCAAAATTCCAAGGCTTGGTTGAGAGACATCATGTGAGAGCAAAAAACGTTCCAGTAGCCGGCTCACCTTGGTGGCTTTTAAAGACAGACTTGTCAAAAAGGAATTCCCAAAGATCACACTTTCCTCAAATGTCTGAGATGGTTTCTGTAATGCTCAACTGTCATAGGCTTCTTTCCAGTCGTTTACCCCAAAAATAGCAAGAATTGTAGGTCATAGTTTTCTCCCCACAAGCCAGAAGGTATCCCCACGTTGCTATGTACTACTATGTATACATAATGGTTGGTCAAATCTCATGAAAGTAAATCTCATTAAAGTACCGTTAAACCCCATGAAATTGCTATTGAATTCACAGAATTCTCCCTTGGTTTCTGGGTTCAGGGTCCGAAGCCCACGGGGATGCAAGGAGACCGTGCGGTGCTACCCTATCCGCACCTCTTCCACATGCTGCAGGAGTGCCTTGAACAGATTTGCATCGTTACAAGACATAGAGATTTCTCCCAGAAAAAGTGGAGCTTTCCAAACTGTGGGGATGGGTCAATTCACACATTTTTACCATATTTTTACTGGGGGAATCATCCATAAATCCCAGCTATCTTAGGGTACCATCCGGATCCTGTTTGGTGCCCATAGCATAGCCGTGGAGATCTCGAGGTGCCTCCTGGACAGCCGTGCGGATCCGGACTCGGACTTGGTGACAGCTGCAAGCTCTGCCTGGAAGAAGCAGCATGGCGTGATGGGGGCTGAATGGCGGAAGCTGACCTCCAAAAGAGCCATGTCTGACCTCCAGTAACCATGTGTCATCGCTGGAGAGCCATGTCTATTTCTAGTCGTTTCACCCCCAAAGAACCCAACTATAGCAAGTTGGGTTTATACGAAATTGGTTAGAAGAACTGGAAATAAGTGGTTGCTGGGTCCAAAAAGTGAATTTTTAACCTTCATTTTACTGGTAAGTAAGTATGTTTATATGGGTTTGTCTGAAAATAGGGGATACCCACAAATAGCAATTTTAATGGGGAACATGGTGATAATCCATTGGAATATGAGATACACTATTTTCAGACAAACCCGTATAATGTATACCCAACATACCATGTTAAGCATACTTGCAGCGGCACATGGTGGCGCTGGCCATGGTTTAGAGCCATCAAGGCCAGGCTCTGAGTCAGTTCAACGGCGCGCTGGGTGGTGCATCGCACGTAGTGGGTCAATAACTAATCACCATATACTGCAGTTCTAAATACACATGAAGTGCAATACTATATATATATACACATGCTGTATATCATCAAAATATCATTTATAGATACACTATATATATAATATAATATATAATAATAATAATAATATATATATATATATTACATTACATAGATAATTTGATATATAGATTGATAATTTAATATATATATAGACAATATGAGAAGATAGATATTTCACATATCTTACCACATATCTGGGATCCACATCCAAGTGGGACGTTATACATCCACCCAGGCCTTCTACAAACTCTCTGACTGCGTCAATTCAGGCGGCCGGGTGCCGGTTCCTGGTGCGTATGGCACCATGGTGAACTTTACACCTACAAGATGGGAAAGAGTACGTTGTAGTTGGGGCATGGTCATCCATGAAACAGGCCTTGAACAAAAATCGTTTTTGTAAGGATTCCTATTATGAAATGGATGACCATACCCTAAGATACCATGTCTTGACCGGAAGTTCAGTTCCAGAGAACAAAGTGGATGGGGTTATATCCAATCTAATGGGGGTTAAAAAATTGCGAAACACAAAAAATCACATGGAATTTCACGGTTTCTGGCAAAGTTCCCTGAACCCAATGGACTTAGAATGATTTAGTGCGGCTTGGAGCATCTGGGATAATTCGTTAAATTTGATAATGGGAACCCGCGCCTGAACTGGTGGACCTTTGGAGGAAACTGAGGGAAGTTGAAGGGCCCAAAGCCTAGGCCTAGTGAACAAAAAAAACCCACATCTTTTTGCGGCCCTCCTTTAAAACCCGGGGACATTGCATATGCTGAAATTGCTGTTTGTGTGGGGAAAATGATGATAAGTCCGTGGATTTTGGGTTCCGTGAACATTTTTTATGGGTCTTGCCTCCGTGTCCTGACTTCCCAGACTTGGTTTAAAAGGACAAACATACAGGTTTCACACCTTTTTTGTGCACTTTCAAACATCACAACGAGACCAGTCTATGAATATGCCTGAACTTTTTCATAACTAGCATGTATTCTTGGTAAAACTATATGTAGATATATGATATTATATATACACATATATATATATATGTATATTATACGTATATATATATTATACATAATGATACTATACCTGAAGATATATTTTTTTGTTGTAGATATGTACAAGTATTTGATCAGGTATAACTGATAATAGCACTGATCCAGTCTTTTTTCTTGTTCAACAAGCTGGCAGAGTTTTGCTCCAGTATCGATCTACCGCAGGATGAATCCTGAAGGTGTCACCGACCGGTGGAGATCCATACACACATCTTTCAATTGGGGACTGCTTTCGTGGGTCAATGATCGAACATTATTGAAGCAACACATCTGAATCACATGTCTCTTTCTTGAAAGGTTGCAAAGTGCCGGGGCAATTGTTCCCACATTCCATACAGCCTGCTGCCTGCTGCTTGGCTTTGAGCGATCCGCTTCGCGATGGAGGTGTGCTTCCTCGCTTCAGGTGCAGAGCTGACAGTCCTTGCCCCTGATGAATTCGAAGGAAAAACTGCAAAGGCTGTGAAGCAAGTCTTGGCCACTAAGATTCCTGGATTTGCTGATTATTTTTCATTCTCCCACCGGAAAATCCACGAATCTTAGGGAATCGATGAAAGGAATATGTTTGTGTTTTTTATTTTTTGAGGTTCCTGGATAGCAAATCCAAGGATTGATGTCAGCATTTTCAGACAAAGACTTTTTTCAGAAGATGGTTCCGAGATCCCGGATGATGAGATTTTTGCTTCGTCTCCAGTGAAGCTTATGCTTGTGATCTTGGATTTCCAAGCGGATGCTGAGCAAACCCAACGCATGATCTCTGCATCCACCAACAATGAATTGATTGAACTTGAGAGTTTGCTGAAAAAACCTTTGAATCCAAATGTGAGAGACAAACATGGCACAACACCGTTGCACTGTGCCGCGGAAAGAGGACATGTTGAAAGCCTGCAGTTGTTGATTGAAGCAGGTGCTGACAAAGATCAAGCTGCGAACGATGGCGCAACGCCATTGTTCATGGCAGCACATGAAGGCCATCTTGATGTCGTTCGTCATTTGGTGGAAGTTGGTGCCCACAAAGATCAAGCCACGAACTATGGCGCAGGGCCACTGTGGATCGCAGCACATCAAGGCCATCTTGATGTTGTTCGTCATCTGGTGGAAGTTGGTGCCCACAAAGATCAAGCACCGAACGATGGCGCAACGCCATTGTACATCGCAGCACAAGAAGGCCATCTTGATGTGGTTCGTCATCTGGTGGAAGTCGGTGCCCACAAAGATCAAGCCACGAACGATGGCGCAACGCCATTGTTCATGGCAGCACATCAAGGCCATCTTGATGTTGTTCGTCATCTGGTGGAAGTTGGTGCCCACAAAGATCAAGCCACGAACGATGGCGCAACGCCATTGTTCATGGCAGCATATCAAGGCCATCTTGATGTGGTTCGTCATCTGGTGGAAGTTGGTGCCCACAAAGATCAAGCTGCGAATGATGGCGCAACGCCATTGTTCATGGCAGCATATGAAGGCCATCTTGATGTTGTTCGTCATCTGGTGGAAGTTGGTGCCCACAAAGATCAAGCCACGAACGATGGCGCAACGCCATTGTTCATGGCAGCACATCAAGGCCATCTTGAGGTGGTTCGTCATCTGGTGGAAGTTGGTGCCCACAAAGATCAAGCTGCGAACGATGGCGCAACGCCATTGTTCATGGCAGCACATGAAGGCCATCTTGATGTTGTTCGTCATCTGGTGGAAGTTGGTGCCCACAAAGATCAAGCCACGGACAATGGTGAAACCCCATTGTTCATCGCAGCACGTGAAGGCCATCTGGGTGTCGTTCGTCACTTGGTAGAGGTTGGCGCCCGCCAAAATGAGGCAACTAGGGTTATGAAAAACTTGCAGCCACAGACTGGGCCAGGTCAAAATATTTTTTTTCATTTTTTTATCGTTTTGGTTATCATTTTATTTATCTTTTTTTTTCATTTATGTTTTCATTCATTTTTTTTTATCATTTTATTTTTCATTTTTTTATCATTTTTTTTTTATCATTTTTTTATCATTTTATTTTTCATTTTTTTATCATTTTTTCAGTTAGCTAGAGACATGCTACCAAAACAAGCGGAGCGCTCACGACTCCTATTTTTGTCTGTGACGAGTGGTGCAGTCTCTGTACAAACCACTCACCCAGAGAGACTTGCCAGCCGACATTCTGTCAGCGGCATATCCCCCCGGGTGGGTGGGAGGGCCAACAATCAAAATGGGCAAAGACTTGAGCCCAAAATGACAGTAGCAAAACACGCTAACCCTCCGTTCTAGTGAACATCCAAGTTAGCTAGAGACATGCTACCAAAACAAGCGGAGCGCTCACGACTCCTATTTTTGTCTGTGACGAGTGGTGCAGTCTCTGTACAAACCACTCACCCAGAGAGACTTGCCAGCCGACATTCTGTCAGCGGCATATCCCCCCGAAATAGGCATGGGCATCCGCCAAATAAAAATCTACAATGGACATGCAAAAGAAAACCCACATGGTATCGACCGTGAAACAAAGAATCAAGGCTGCCTCAGACATTCCCCGGCTCTCAGTAGGCAACCTGTACGTTGAAGCCTCCATGGAACACGGATGAATGCAGAATTGCCACGGCAAAGTCTCACTGGTTCCACTGTCGATCCTGATGGTTTCCATAGTCATAGCTGGACCAGCCATCTTGGTTGCTGCCTCGTTGCCCATCTCTGGTCCAGTTGCCCCAGTCGTCATCGTCTGCGGCATTTGCATCTCTCCGTTGTGTGACATCTGGTTGATGCCGTTGCCACTCACTGCTGCGTCTCGCTTGCCAGTCGTGCCATTGACTTCCTGCTTCCCAGTTGGCCGTGCTTTCAGCTTCAGCCTGGTTGGATGCAGCAGCTGGAGCAGCTGACTGGCGAGGTGGTGGAGTGCTGCGTGATCTATCGGATCGATAGTTGGCCTTTGTAGCTTTTCGGCGGGCCCGCTCCTTGTTCTTCTCTTCGAGGAAACCCGGCTTCAGGACTTGCTTGGAATACCCATGTGACCAGGATTTCGGGAAATCCTCAAAGGAGGCACCCTCCATTTCAGCCAAGGCTCGCTGATGTCGGGCGGCCCGTTGCCGGCCCTTTTGGCGTTGTTTGGCCTCCGCATAGGTGAAGCCATCCTTGAGATCCTTCTCGAATTTGCCTGGGTGCATTTCGGGCAGTGGACGAGTGCTGAACTCAAAGTTGAGCTCCTCCAGTTTGCTCTTGCACCGCTTCCATGCTTGGGAGCGAAGCGTCTTCCTCATCTCTGGGGGTGCTCGCAGGAAAGCTTCCACTTTCGTCTTGGTCTTCTCGAGCAGCTCCTCATCTTCTGCCTTCTCCTCAGGGGTTCGATCATCGTCATCACCATAGTCGACTTCAGACTCGTCAAACCCAAAGTGGTTCACCTCAGTGGGCGGAGCGCCCTCAGAAGATGATGCTGTTGCGCCTGAACCGAGTCCCATAGCTCTTGCCGGCATGGCATAGTTGGCTGCTGGCAGTGGCGGAGGGGGCTTCTTTGGTGCTGGTGTCTTCTGCATCAGCACTGGAGGAACTGGTTTGGGGGCTAGGGCTTTCGGCGGCTCCTTTGGCTCAGGTACCTGTTCTGGATGAGCTGGCTTTGGAAGTGGCGGCGGAGCCACCTTTGGGGGAGCCGAAAGCATGGGAGGCTTAGGAGGTGGTGGCTTCTTGAATTCGACACCTTTCGTCCCTGCCATTAGCCATGCTTTTGCGCTGGGATGCATTTTTAGAAGCCCCGGATGGTCTCCCAAACATGCCTCCCGGACCTCTTTTGGGACAGAAGTCATAGGTGGAGCACCTTCAATCAGCATCTTGGCCCGTCCTCTGTTCACGAAATCCATGAACTGGAGCAGTCCTTGCATCACGGCTTGATCGAAGGTTTGGAAGACTTGCTCAGACCCGGTCCCCTCCTCAGGGAGCTCTTCCCATGCCGGCTCGTCCCAATCTTCTTCATCGAATTGGTGGTCTTGGAGGATGTCCATGTCATCGTCTTCAGCTTCCACCTCAACATACACATAGTCATCCTCGTTGTCTGGGACGGTGCTCTCCGGTGGAAGGTCATCTTCGACCCAAGGCTCAGACCCGGGCTCCAACCAGCTCGAAGGGGCCCTGTATCTGGATGACGTCTCTGACCACCAAGACTCAGACGGAGCGTCTGATCGTTTCACCCCTGCATCTGCCAGTGCGATGCGAGGAACTCGCAAATCGTCCACCATGCCCCCTCCAGTGTATGGTTGGGTCGCCCTGGGGAAATGCTTGGCCGGTGTTGGCGGTGCTCCCTTTGGAATAGCTTGCGTGGGTGCCATTTTTTGCATTGGTGGGGTGGTAGGTCCTCTGGGCCTCCCATCATCATTTCTTGGTGGCGGTGCTTTCCTTGGCTTCGCACTTGAGCTCGGAGTAGGCGGATTCGCGGGCGGTGGAGGTTTCCTTGGCTTTTGCGCGGTCCCTGCTGGAGCAGGAGGGGCTTTGGCTGGGGGCGGTCCTCCTTGCGCTCCTCCTCCAGGATATCCCTGTGAAGGGGGGGCGGTTTACGAGGCACCTCCCGGCCTGCTCCTCCCGAGCTGCTGGCTCCTGCGCCGGACCGATCAAAACTTGATCTGGCTTGTTGGAATGATGAAGCTTGCTTGGCATAGACACCAGCTGGAACAACTGGGGAACGGCCTCGCCCATGCTTTGCAGCAATTTGCTCTTGTCTCCACCTCATGTATTGAGTGGCCATCAGTGGATCCAAGAGGATCTCTCGGACCATTCCCAACATCTTAAACTCCTCTCCTTTGGCTTTCTGGACATCTTCCCCAGCAGTTGCAAAGCGGTCTGGATGAGTCTCACGGGACCTGCGACGATATGCGGTGAGCACCTGAGCTGGAGTCGCACCGGGTGGAACACCCAGGAATTGATAAAGATCTAGTCCTGGGTGAGCTGCTACAAAGAGGTTCGCTGCATTGGCTCGATCTGGAGCTGCTGGCTTTCGTCCCCCATCGGCACTTTCATCAGTAGCATCCATAGCACCAGCCTTCACTGCAAACGATACCTTACGATCTGGTGCCCACGAAAATGCACGATTGGTGTTTGAGCCTCGAGGAGCTCTGGATGTTCGCTTCGTGGCAACTGGGCTGCTAAAAGGGTTTGATCCTCCATGACTGTTATGGAATAACTCATCTTGAGGGACCCCCAATAAACCAGGATAGGACTCTTGGGGTTCAGTTGGAACAACCGCTGGATGCCTACGGACCCCGGGGTCTTTTTGGCTGGGGAGTGTAATGAGGCTGGTACCCAACATCCCTTCTGAAATCCCTTTCTGAGCGGTATGATCTTCATAAAGGTAAGCATGAACAGCATCGGATGACCAACCACCGTACCTCTTAAGCCTTTCTAAGTCCCCAGTACTTGCGAAAAATGCAGTGGCTCCCCCCTTACGTAGTGAGTGTGAACCAGCGAGTTCGCCAGGAAACCCGGCGGCCAATGCAGCTATCTTGATGAAATGGGTGATGCCCTCTCTGTCAAGCCCCGTCCCGTCTTCATAGCGGAACAAAGGCGCCTCGTCTTCAGGGCTGCGCCACCGATGGGGCTGTAGGACCTGTAGCGCGGCTAAGGCTTCAACAGGGCAGAGATCTCCACCGGAGCGGTGGTGTGACCGTGTTTGGCCCCTACCATACTGATCGGTTTTTGAAGATCTAATCTGCACTACGACTTCATCGGCCTTGGCGCCTATGGTAGGCTGCCCATGCGAAAAGAAAGCAACATCAGCTGGGCGGAGCGCCCTATTCATGGGGTCTTCTCCATTGATACTGGGCAAGAGTTCACTGGCCCGCATCATGAAAAACCAACCTGTAAGAAGGGCTCCTTTGATCATGGTTTGATCGACAACTGATAAACCGCTACTTTTCAAGTGCTGGACCAACCATCGCAACATGTTGGGGGTAACAGGGAGCTTTCGTTTTGGGGCGCCTTCCCAACGTTGTAGACCCGCAACCGCTGCCCACAACCGAGGTCGCCCGACCAGTGGATCAGGGTATCCTGCCGCAACATGTGCATAACGAATGGCTGACAACCTTTGTCTGACCCCACCTATGGACCTTCCCATGACTTGATGTAGAAATACTACAAACCGAATCAACCTCTGCTCGTCTTCAGTCCGAGCGGAGCGCTCTTCTCCGTCAAGGAACGGGTGAGTGCCCGAGCTGGCATTGTACAACGCCCATTGCTTCCAGCCTGATGCATAGACCCTGCGAGTTGAATCAGCCAGTTTGGCCAAGACAGCTTCCATGGCTACCTGGTCAAGCTCTGCTGTGCTCCCTCCTCGGGGGCGGGGGGTCCCAGTAGTCCCGCCTCTTTTGGATGCGGGCTGGACCAGCCTCTCCACTTCACTGAGTGCTGGCTTCACGGTGGTGCGTTTGCCTCCGCCTGCTTTCGCCTGGGTTGTCGCTCCCACGAACTCATGAGTGGGTGCCACTGCCACACGTGGCTCTTTCCACGAAGTAAGGAAAAGCTCGGAAGAGGGAGCCTTCGGGTTCCTCCCCCACGCTCGCAGCCAGACCTCTAGTTGCTCGTGGGCTTGGATCTCATCGGGGTCCAGGACTCCTGCCTTCCCATCGGTTCCAGTCAGAGCCTGCATGAGACTCATAGCCACTTGCCAGCCTGGCTCCCGGACTGCAGCTGCTATCATGCGATCCTTTCTCTTCGAGTCGGCGGAACGCCAATCCTCTGCGAGGCCCCCTTGCATTTCCCACACCTCTTCTGGGAGGAGAGGACGGACCAGACCCGTCCCATCTTCCAACAGGGTGCCTCCTGGGATCTTGAGACGCTCACCTGTGAGCCTAGGTCCGCAAGCTGGGCCCCGTGTGCTATGGACCAGGTGCCTGCTGCCGGCGCGCACGTCAACCAAGTGGCCGACTGGTTTTGGAAGCCACTTGTCTCCGGTGGTGATGAGGTTTGGTTCTCTCGTGAAAAGGTAGTCGGGCGGGCATAATCCCTTACCTGACTCCTCTGCGGATCGCAGAGGTAACATCTGACACTCGTTGACTTGTGCAACTCGCCATGCTTGAACTCTCTCCTTTTCGTCGGCCGTTCCTCCAAAAAGCCAAAGTCTTCTGGCCCTGGCAAAGAAGCTGCCGTGGTGTGAAGTCTGATAGTCGACCACTTGTGCCTGACCCCATTGAACCTGAAGCTGCATCAGGCGATTTCGGCTGGTTTCAGAGAGCTCCCTGGGCTGGTCAACGATAAGTCGTCCTCTCCAATCAGTTCTGGCGAGGGTTTTTAGAAGGATGTCTGCCTCCCGCCCTTTTGGGTCTTGAGTGAGAACACAGACGATCCAGTCAGCTTGCGCCTGGCTTGCGATCGATCCTCCGCCCTTGGCCCACCCCAGCTCGAACGTCAGTAGTTCCGACCCTAGCCGGATTTGGTGGAGTCCCCCTTTGAATGGCTTTGGTTCGATCTTGGCGGGGAAGGCATGCACGGTTTGCTGTTCGTTGGCCAGCTGAATGGCTAAAGCTGCACTCGGGCCCTTCTCCCCTGGTAGCTTCAACGTGGGGCGCATGGCTTCTCGCAGGAGTCCTTCCCAGTCCTCATTGAGCTCGAGGCGGGTCCAGCCACTGCTTTCCATTTCCGCATGGACCTTGTCTTCATCCTCCCTTGTCAGCCAGTCGTTGAGAGTATTGTGGTAGGGACGGACGTACGCTCCATCGACAGTGAAGCTATTCTCCGCTTCGAGCCGCTGGAGCAGCAGCAAGAGCGCCCTCACGTATCTGTTTGAAGCGCGCCTGGTACGTAACCATGCTTTGACATTCATGTTGTCAGTCACATAAAGGATCAGTTGCCCCTGCCAGGTTTCCTTCCGCGCCGCTGCCAGGACAATGAACGTCAGAAGCTCCATCACTCCGATGATCTCCAAGTGATCTCCGCCCCCTACGACTTCGCTCACGGCCCTGACGTATCTGCTGCTGTCCGCCATGTGGTAGCATCTATCCTTCCAATCAGTGCTTCCGAGCCTGGTTAGCGTGGCATCTCCTCCAACGAATCGGGCCGAAGCGGCCATGCCAGGGAGTGCGAGCCTTTCCCTTAACGGCAGGAGCTTGCCGAAAGCTGCTCTGAAACTGGTTCCCCAAGGCTTTTCCATCTGGAGGCGAACCCAATCGAGCGCATCCCAGAACTCAGCCCAGGCAGCCTCTAGCTCACTCTCGGAGCCCCTGGGTTTCACCCATTCATGATCGCCTACTTCCTGCTGCAGGAGCCTGTAAAAGACTGGTAGATAGGGTGCAATCTCCGGAGCGGAGACGGCCCAATACTGCGCTGTCCCTGCCAGTTCTCGGAGCAGCTTGGTACGAACTCGTTGGCACCCCCTTTGAAGCTGAGGCTCTCTTAGGAGATACTTCGCCTTTATTCGCTTCGGTTCCGGGAGGACCACAACCTGTTCTTCAAAGTCTAGGTGGAGGCCCCACAGGAGCTGGGATTTTGCCGGGGTGCCTTCTTCGGCGAGCTTGTCGAGATTGATGGCTCCAGGGCCCCAGACTGATACCATAGCTGCATCCATTGCTGACAGGGATCTCTGGATCCTATTCCCCACTAGTGGCTCTACCACCACGCCGTCATCCATCAGCCATCGGCTGGTGTAGGGAACCACATCGTTGAATTGAGGATGGCATGGTCGGAACGACCCGTGGTGCTTTTGGGCTGCGGTGGCCCATATCACGAACTCCCCTGGCGCTCCTACCCAACCGAACACCATCACCAGACTCAGGATCAGCACACCTAGAATCCTCGTGCAGAATTCAGGGACATCGCCCGGCTTGAGGAAGTGCCACTTGAAAGCCCTTGGCACATCGCGTTTCGCACACCTCTGTGGAACCTTCGGGTGTCGCACCCTCCACCAAAGGCTTTGCCTGACCACTGCTCTGTGCCTAGGCTGAGCGGCGGGTGGGTGGTCGTATTTGGAGCCCGAAGCATTCCTGGCTCGCATATCGTTGATGGGACGACCTTCCGCTGAGATGGTTCTGTCGGGGTTTTGCTTGGGCACTCGGCCGAGAGGGCTCTCGGCCACCTTGCTCTCGGTCAGTATCTGGTCGATTTGCCGATTTTCTTCTTGGTCCTCGGTCTCTGTGGAACACAGAAGTACCGCCCCATAAGATGCGTCTTTCCATGCCTTCTGCAGCATCTCTTCCTCGTGCCCCCTGACGGAGCCGTGGTTTCGGGCCTTCTCTCTCTTGGGGGTACTCTTAGCTCGGCTGGGCACGCCCTTGAGCACACAGTCTTTCAAGTATTGCTCGTGTAGGGGGCTGAGCCCTTTCAATGCTCCTTCCTTTGCCTTCTGGAAGTGTTCCCCATACTTCCTCAGCCTCGCTTTGTTGACTAATTCAGCTGCTCTTGGCACCGAGCCGGCGGCCCTCAACAACGCATTTCCTGCCTCTGTGGCTTTTCTCACTGCCTCCTTGCTGTAAGCACTCTGGCATACCTCCAAGTATTTCTCAGCAGTGCTTTGGCCATTGGCGTCGTCGACGCTGCCTGCCCTTGTGCCCTGCCCCTCAGCTTGCTTTTCGGGATCGGAAACAGACCCCTCCCCCCCACAAAACGTACAAGGGTAGACCATCTGTTGGAGTTCGCATCCTGAACAGGTGTAGCCATGTGGGAGGCCTGGTCCATCCGCTTGGCCAGCAACCACCGGTGCCAAATGTTGGCCAAGGGTTCGCTCCAACGTATTGGCTGGATCAGCCGGCCAAGGGGGTGCGTCCAGTTCGGTCCAACATTTCTCTAGGGCTTTGAGCACGCTGTGCTCTTGCAGATATGTTGTCCAGCTCCATTCTTCAAAGGCTGCTCGGACTACCAGACCCCAGGCTGCACACAAAGCTGGTGCGTATTGCTGTGCCAGTCGAGTGAGAGGTACTTGAGGAATTGGACTGGGTCCCTTCAAGGGTGCGTGCTGGTGAGTCGGGCCGACTCCTGGGCACTGCCTACCAAGGAATAACAAGGCCCATGGGTAGAGTTCTGGGGAGACCAGCCACCAAGAATGCTTGCGATGAAACAGGCCCTCCTCAGTCTCAGGCGGTCCCAGACCCCAAGCGCACATAGCCATAGAGACAATTTTTGCGCCGGTGCGGCGGCGGAGCCTCTGCATACAAGGCAGGTCCCATATCTTGGGGTAGCGGCCCGACGGCGCGCTACTCTCCAATGCGAAGACTCTTCCGTTGTCCGCCAGAACCGTACAAAGTTCGGCTGCGAACTCTGCGTCTTCATTTCCTTGAACTTCAGAGGGACGAGTGCCGTCGCCTTGTGGGCGTTGCCAGGTCCTGCTGCCACCGTTCTTCAGCTGGTGGTCGCAGAAGGAAGTACAAACGACTCCAAGCTGCCAAGTGTTGGGGACATCGGGCCCTGGTGGAGCACCAGCTAATCCCAGCAATCGTTCTCGGACCTTCGGGTCACGGGTATCATGCTGCGGCTTAAAGCCCTTTTGCTCGATCGGGTCCTCATAGTATTCAATGGGTTCTCCGCACGGGATCCCCTGGTACTGAAGCCCCTTGGTCCATCCTGCCCATCCAGCGTACACCTCTTGACCAATTGGCCCATAGGCGAAGGCGAGCCTTTTTCGCAGAGGCACACCGCTGTTTTGAAGAGCCTGTGGATCATCCTGCAAGCAGGACTCAAATGAAGCCGGTGGCAACGGGAATCCTTCACCAACACGATAAGGCCTTTGCTGCTGTTGCTGGCATCTTGTGCAGGCGGGGGACTTGGCTGGAACCATCTGATCCTCCACTTTGCTCTGGTCCAAGATCACCCTCCAATGTTCAACCTGAAGTTCCCTGGTGACCTTGTCTGCAGTCCTCAGGTGATCCAACAGCTGCTGGGGCTGTTGTGGAAGAAGCAGGCGCATATGCCCCCGGTGGATGGTAACGAAAACTAGCTTCCCATTGCCAGCATCATCTCCGTGGAGCAAGTCGACCTCCAACCGACCAAAATAGGAAATCCTGAGGACCGCCAACGTGTATCCTTGCAGCATGGATCCTGTGAGGGTTTGCAAGGCGCGGTAGTCTTTCTCGTGGTGAGGATAGAGGCAATCATGGACGTTTTGACGCAAGAAGTGCTCGCCCTCAGGTATCCACGCTGGCGGATCGCCAAGGTGTGCGTGAGCCTCCACTGCTTCATCCCAGAGATGTTTTCTCAACTGGTTGGCTCTGGCTACGGCCTCTCGTAGTTCTACAGATGGATCATCGGCCAACGCTAACCCGACACCCACATGAAGAGGCAGGCATTGGCGCTCTTCTTCCAACTGCCCGTCTTGCAGTGGGACCTCGCTGTCTTTTGCGTTCAAGCGATCCTGGTAGTCACGGACCGTGACTGAGCCGATATGCGACAAGTTTCCTTGAAAGTTCAACAGGCCATGACCAATACCCTCGTCCCATGTGATGGGCGTAAATTCGACATCCGCTTGGTGACCCGCTTTTGGCTCGTGCTTGAGGAGCTCAAGTTGACGTCCGGCTTCCTTAGAGAGCGCGGGATGTCCATGTTCTGCCGCATCTTCGAGACACCGGTTCAGCTCCAGTTCATATCCTTCATCTTGTGCTGCCATCATGCGTGCAATCACATGGGACCTGAGATAATCCGTGGGCGACTCCAAGGCCGCCAGAACCCCTTTCTCCTCCAGCGACTTCCATCGTTTCAGCCTTTCCCGCTCCTCTTGGCTCTGGTCATCCCAAGCCGGAGCGGCTTCTTGCTCAGTGGGTTGTGAGGGTATTCGCAGCCAGCCCTCATCTGGGCCCTGAACCGCCTCTTGCAAGTCAGTCTCGAGATGGGTCAGAGGGATATCATAGTCTTCAGGTGCGACCCACTGGGTGTTCCCAACCTTGTCTTCTTCAGCTTTACCCTCAGCTTCCTTCCCAGCTTTGGCCTTTGGCTTGGGCTTGACTTTCGCTTTCTTGCTAGGTTGGATCTTGTCGGCCTTATCCGCCGCTGCCTGGGTTCGCAGCTGAGCGACCCTTCCGTCGACCTCTTTGGGATCGATTTTCGGCCCACCTTTGAGTCCTCCTCTTCGAATGACCTGCATGGCAACTGTGTAGTCAAGTTTGGCCAATCCCGGCAAAGGCTCGTGCGCGTGCTGGCACTTGTCGCCTCTTGTGCATCCCATGTGTGTGGCCGCATCCCAGCAGATAGGTTTGTTGGTCTTGGGATCCTTAGGTGCGTGCTCCACGGACCGTGAAGCTTCTCCTTGTGTAAGCCGTTTTCCAGCTGGGTAGGCTGATTTCATGCTGCCGCCCGCATATCCATCGGCCTCTTTGTCTTTCAGGTTAAGCTTTGGGGCTTTCCCTGTCCTTGGCTCTTCATCTTCAGCTGGACCAGCTGTCTTCTTCTGCTTGAGGTTGTGGTCGTGCAGCTGCTTGTGGAGCAGCCTCGACATTTGCCTTTGCTGCCTGGGTACCACAACTGTCTGGTAATATCCGTTCGGGTCGCCCAGATCCCATATGCTTGGAAACTGGAAGTTTGCTTGCCCATCCGCTCCCGGCGCCAAAGCTAGCAGCTTCAGGTCTTCAAGCCGTGGATTTTCGGTCCCCAGCAGAGAGCAGAGTTTCCTTCTGCTTTCTCGCAGTTCTTCGCACCAAGCCGCGACAAGTTCCTCAAAGAGCTCGATGCAGTAGGCAGCTGGGAAGGCATGCTCGTCTTCTTCATGGGCCTCCTTCAGGGCTTGGAGACAATCGAGCCTTTCTTGGATATGCTCTGTACCATAGCAGGATCCAAACACGCGAACTGAGTTTTCCGCGTACCTGAGCCAAGTGTTGAAGACTCCTGGTGGTCTCATGCGATTTTCGATCTTGTTGTCGGAGGACGGATTCCAACTGTCCAACTGCTCGGACCGAGCGGTAACGCAGTCACTTGCGTGCAAGGTATAGGTGTCTTTGCCACCCCACCACAGACCAGCGATGCCAAGTAGGACCCTGTTGGTCATCAGCACCGGCCATTTGATCAAGTGCAGCATATGGCGAGCGTGATTTGCCACCCTTTTCCCCGCGTGGAAAAGTTCCTTCCCGTACACTCCCGGTGCGAGTTCAACGGTCAGGGTGCCACAGCCTCGTGCCAGGAAGACGTCCATCTTCTCCGCCTCTTTGATAGAACTCAAGGTCCCTTTCGTGAGGTTTTTGTCGTCATCCTGTGCTCTTCTCAGACCGTCGATGGCGTGAATGATGCGGTCCGCGCTCTGGACTTGTGTGCTGTCTCCGAGGGCTTCTCCGAACGTGGCTCCTGCTCTGCCCTCCGGCATCTGCTCCGATGCTGGTTTCACGAGACTGTTTCGACCGCCTGACCCCTTGGGAAAGAGCGACAATCCACCTCTCTGGACCGGGGAGATTGAGGAGGAGCTCCTCGGCAGAAGTGGATTCGCCGGCCGGGGGACTGCTGGCTTTACGGTCACTCCTCCTGGCATAGTTGCCGTCACGGGTCTTCTTGCAAACTCCATTTCGCTTTGGTCGGCTCCCAATCCTGGTGGTGTCGTTGGCTTCGAGTAGCTAAGGCGGTGATTCCTCGCATACATCGACTGAGCCAGTTGCTCATGATCTAGGTCGAAGGCAGTGGCCACGGTCTGCAACACTTCGGAATCTATCTCTCCCTCAATGTGCTGGTCAAGAGCTCTTCGAGCCGCCTCCATTCTTCCCTGGCGATCTGAATCATCTAGGTCTGGGAAGGGTGGAATCGCCGGTCCCGCACCCTCTTCCAGCTCGACTTTCGGCTTTGGCGGTGTCATAAAGTCGTCGGACATCTCAGCTTCTTCACGCAAATATGCATCAGCATGTGGGAGGATCTCCCGGTAGAGTCTCCCCTGCCAGGCTTTTACTTGGCTTCGCTCCTTCATCCGTCACCTCACCGTCCCAGGCATTCAGGGCCGCTGCTTGGTCTTCGGACAGGCGCGCGACCAAGACCGATATCCCTTGGCCGACTTCTTCGTCATGGGTATGCTGAAGGAACTTCTGCACCCAATGCTTACTAATTCGACCCGCCCCGTTGTCTCGAGGGGACCCTTTCAACAGCCTTCTGTGGATCACACACGTTTGCTTCAAGGAAGGGATGTGGACTTCGAGCAGCTCCTGGCTGCGCCCTTCTTCGGCGAACCCCTCGATGCGCCCCAACCATGCAGTCCACCTGGGTGGGGCCTCCGCGGTTTGTAATGACTTTGGTCTGAGGAGCACCATGCACGGGCCCTTCTCAAGCTTGCCTTCAATCTTCTTCTGGGATTCACTAGGATCGGCCGAAGCAGCCCTGGGCCCAAGTCGTTCAGCGCCGTCAAAGATGATCCGGCGGCTTCTTCGTGCAGGGGTGAGGCATTCTCCTTCGGACATAGATGCCTCGGATCGTGCAATGGAGCTATCTCTCTCATGTGTCCAGCTAACCCTGCGGGTAGGGCGAGCACAACCACCAAGGTCCGTCAGGTGGTGCTTGCAGAGGGGAACTCCCTGTTTGGCACCATCAACCTGTTCGTAGCAAGCCAACACGCTGCATTTTCGGCTTGAACATGCCGCCACGTAGAACTGCCGATGATGGTCGCAAAGCCTGACGGAGGATCTCCTTTTGACGTCAGAGAGTTCTCTGTCCCTCTCCAGGAGCCGGACCGGCTCTCCGATAGCCCGATCTGCACATGGGTCTGTGGCCAATGCTCTCGGTTTGCCTCCATGTTCCAAACCGACGAATACGGCCTCACAAGGGTCATCTTGTACCTCTACTTCAGATTCAGATTCCGCATCCAAGGGTCTGACGACGGCTCCTTCGACTATGGTTCTGGGTGGCGTCCGCTTTGCCCAGAGTTGTCTGAGAATGAACCATCCCGTCAGATAGTACACGCAGAGACTAAGCCCCCGCACCATTCTACGTAGCCATCGACCCATCAAGACGATCACCCTGCGGGTGGACCACCCTGCATAAGCTCCCAAATCCACCAGCCCATTGGCATCCACCGAAGCGTAAGCTTTGCAATGTAGACCGGGTGTTGGTTGCAATTCAAGCGGACACCGCTGCTCGCGACAGAGATGGATTTTCCCCTCCTGTTCCAACGTTTGGCGAAGCGCTTTCGACGTGGAACCCTTCACTCCACGGAGACGAACCCATAACCCGTATCGATCCACACGTGCCCAATGATCCCCGTCTACCTTCAAGCGAGCTATTTGGTCATTCACCACAACAGCTACGTCATTGGGTTTTCTTTCTGAACCTCGACCCTTGACGCCTCGTTGGTAGAATTCGGAATCGACGCCCCCGCTAGAGGCGGGCCCACGGATATCCAGCTTTTCGTATGTGCCCCCAGGTCTAAGTTCGGGGAGGAGCTCCCCCACCTCTTTGGCTACTGCTCTGGTCTGTCTGCAGCAACATTTGCAGAAAGCTTGACAGGGCCGGCAGATAACCAATAGCAAGTAGAGAATCAAAATTGCTCCCAAAACCACGATGGCACTTAACAAACATCTGGCAACCCATGGCCAAAAATCTCCGCATGTCCACACCCCCAGCTGATCCAAGAAGTACAATCCCCACCCTCCTGAGGAGCTCAGGGTTCCAGGTGCTGTTGGTGTGCTGAACCATGAGGAGCCTATCCATGAACGGAAATCAAAGTGGAGGACAGAGTATCCCCACACATGGGCTATTCCTTCAAACGGGATTCCAGATTGAGAACTTTCCTTCGTGGGATCGGACTGACCTTCTGATACTTCGGGTTGATCTTTCCCATTGGTGACTTCTTCCTCCCTAGATCCAGTCATCCCATGAAAGACATCCAGGTACCATGGCAGGCCATACACAGAAGGGGAACCTACACTGGAAACTAGCCCTAATATGAGCGCCCAATTGCAAATGGGCATTATGACGATTTCGTCAGTATCCAACAATCAAAATGGGCAAAGACTTGAGCCCAAAATGACAGTAGCAAAACACGCTAACCCTCCGTTCTAGTGAACATCCAATTTTTTTTTCATTTTTTTTTCATGTTTTTTTCATTTTTTTCATTTTTTTATCATTTTTCATCATTTTTGCTTCCAGTGGTGCAAAAATTTTCCGAAAAATAAAAAATTGCAATTTTCCTCGTTTTTTTCATTTTTTTATCATTTTTTTAATCATTTTTTTATCATTTTTGCTTCCAGTGGTGGAATTGATGAAAAATGATGAAAAATGATGGAAAATGATAAAAAAATGATAAACAAATGAAAACAAATGAAAAAAAAATGAAAAAAAATGAAAAAACAACTCGAGGAAAATTGCAATTTTCCAAAAAATGAAAAATTGCAATTTTCCTCGTTTTTTTCATTTTTTTTCTTTTTTTTTTTTCATTTTTTTTCATTTTTTTATCATTTTTTTAATCATTTTTTTATTATTTTTCATCATTTTTGCTTCCAGTGGTGCAAAAATTTTCCGAAAAATAAAAAATTGCAATTTTCCGCGAGTTTTTTTCATTTTTTATCATTTTTTTAATCATTTTTTTATCATTTTTGCTTCCAGTGGTGGAATTGATGAAAAATGATGGAAAATGATAAAAAAATGATAAAAAAATGAAAAAAATGAAAAAAAAATGAAAAAAATGAAAAAAAAATGAAAAAAAATGAAAAAAACGAAAAAAAAAAGAAAAATAAAATGATAAAAACATGATAAAAAAATGATTAAAAAAATGATAAAAAAATGAAAAATAAAATGATAAAAAAAATGAATGAAAACATAAATGAAAAAAAAGATAAATAAAATGATAACCAAAACGATAAAAAAATGAAAAAAAACTATTTTAACAATTTCCAATGTGTAGCTGGCTCGGTTTTTCATAAAACTAGGGATACGGGGGAAACAGCCTTACATGCTGCGGCAGAAATGGGCCATGTTGAACTTGTTCGTTTTCTGATTGAAAGAGGCGCAGATAGTCACGCAACTACACGCAGTGGAAGAAGTGCTCTGGATCTGGCATCTCAAAAAGGTCATGCTGAGGTGGTCCGTTTCCTGGCAAAGATCCGGAGCGAATCGCCCCCAAGCAAAATTCCAAGGCTTGGTTGAGAGACATCATGTGAGAGCAAAAAACGTTCCAGCAGCCGGCTCACCTTGGTGGCTTTTAAGGACAGACTTGTCAAAAAGGAATTCCCAAAGATCACCCGTTCCTCAAATGTCTGAGATGGTTTCTGTAATGCTCAACTATCATAGGCTTCTTGCAAGTCGTTTACCCCAAAAATAGCAAGAATTGTAGGTCATAGTTTTCTCCCCACAAGCCAGAAGGTATCCCCACGTTGCTATGTACTACTATGTATACATAATGGTTGGTCAAATCTCATGAAAGTAAATCTCATTAAAGTACCGTTAAACCCCATGAAATTGCTATTGAATTCACAGAATTCTCCCTTGGTTTCTGGGTTCAGGGTCCGAAGCCCACGGGGATGCAAGGAGACCGTGCGGTGCTACCCTATCCGCACCTCTTCCACATGCTGCAGGAGTGCCTTGAACAGATTTGCATCGTTACAAAACATGGAGATTTCACCCAGAAAAAGTGGAGCTTTCCAAACTATGGGGATGGGTCAATTCACACATTTTTACCATATTTTTACTGGGGGAACCATCCATAAATCCCAGCTATCTTAGGGTACCATCCGGATCCTGTTTGGTGCCCATAGCATAGCCGTGGAGATCTCGAGGTGCCTCCTGGACAGCCGTGCGGATCTGGACTCGGACTTGGTGACAGCTGCAAGCTCTGCCTGGAAGAAGCAGCATGGCGTGATGGGGGCTGAATGGCGGAAGCTGACCTCCAAAAGAGCCATGTCTGACCTCCAGTAACCATGTGTCATCGCTGGAGAGCCATGTTATTTCTAGTCGTTTCACCCCAAAGAACCCAACTATAGCAAGTTGGGTTTATACGAAATTGGTTAGAAGAACTGGAAATAAGTGGTTACTGGGTCCAAAAAGTGAATTTTTAACCTTCATTTTACTGGTAAGTAAGTATGTTTATATGGGTTTGTCTGAAAATAGGGGATACCCACAAATAGCAATTTTAATGGGGAACATGGTGATAATCCATTGGAATATGAGATACACTATTTTCAGACAAACCCATATACTGTATACCCAACATACCATGTTAAGCATACTTGCAGCGGCACATGGTGGCGCTGGCCATGGTTTAGAGCCATCAAGGCCAGGCTCTGAGTCAGTTCAACGGCGCGCTGGGTGGTGCATCGCACGTAGTGGGTCAATAACTAATCACCATATACTGCAGTTATAAATACACATGAAGTGCAATACTATATATATATATGTATACACATGTATATCATCAACATATCATTTATATATACAATATATATATAAAATATAATATACAATTACTTTACTTCGTGTGATCCCCACCATGACATTTACACATTTTGTTACTCGCAAATCTTCTGGCATTCTATCTGACATATCCTCTGGCATTCTATTTGGCATATCTTCTGGCATATGTTCTGGCATATCTTCTGGCATTCTATCTGGCAAATCTTCTGGCATTCTATCTGGCATATCTTCTGGCATTCTATCTGGCATATCTTCTGGCATTCTATCTGGCAAATCTTCTGGCATTCTATCTGGCATTCTATGTGGCAAATCTTCTGGCATATATTCTGACATATCTTCGGGCATTCTATCTGGCATTCTATCTGGCATATCTTCTGGCATATGTTCTGGCATATCTTCTGGCATATCTTCTGGCATTCTATCTGGCATATCTTCTGGCATATGTTCTGGTGTATCTTCTGGCATATGTTCTGGCATATCGTCTGGCATTCTATCTAGCAAATCTTCTAGCATATGTTCTGGCAAACATTCTGGCACTTTATCTGGCATATCTTCTGGCATTCTATCTGGCATTCTATCTGGCATATCTTCTGGCATATCTTCTGGCATTCTATCTTGCAAATCTTCTGGCATTCTATCTGGCATATCTTCTGGCATTCTATCTGACATTTCTTCTGCACATTCTTTGTCCCATATCTTCCTACATGAGGTCCGGCAGGGAACACTTGGCGTGGATACTCGCAGTTGAGGTCCGGCAGGGAACACTGGGCGTGGATGGTCGTGGTTGAGGTCCGGCAGGGAACACTGGGCGGGGATACTCGCGGTTGAGGTCCGGCAGGGAACACTGGGCGGGGATGGTCGTGGTTGAGGTCCGGCAGGGCACACTGAGCGTGGATGGTCGTGGTTGAGGTCCGGCAGGGCACACTGAGCGTGGATCGCGGTTGAGCAGGAGGAGGAGGAGGAGAGGAGAGGAGAGGAGAGGAGAGGAGAGGAGCAGGCAACTGACATAAAATCTAACAACCCTCACCTGGCAGGTGGGGAATAATAATAATAATAACAATAATAATATAATAATAGTAATAATAATTAATAATAATAATTAATAATAATAAATAATAATAATAATCATACTAATAATAATAATGTATGTATATATATATATATTACACTACATAGATAATTTTTTATTATTTTTTATATAGATTGATAATTTAATGTATATATATATATAGACAATATGAGAAGATAGATAGATATTTCACATATCTTACCACATATCTGGGATCCACATCCAATTGGGACGTTATACATCCACCCAGGCCTTCTACAAACTCTCTGACTGCGTGGTCAATTCAGGCGGCCGGGTGCCGGTTCCTGGTGCGTATGGCACCGGAAAGAGTACGTTGTAGTTGGGGGATGGTCATCCATGAAACAGGGCTTGAAAAAATTATGTTTTTGTAAGGATTCCTATTATGAAATGGATGACCATACCCTAAGATACCATGTCTTGACCGGAAATTCAGTTCCAGAGAACAAAGTGGATGGGGTTATATCCAATCTTATGGGGGTTAAAAAATTGCGAAACACAAAAAATCACATGGAATTTCACGGTTTCCGCCAAAGTTCCCTGAACCCAATGGATTTAGAACGATCTAGTGAGCCTTGGAACATTGATAATTCGTTGAATTTGATAGGACCCCGCGCCTGACATTTGAACTGAGGGAAGTTGAAGGGCCCAAAGCCTAGGCCTAGTGAACAAAAAAAACAACATCTTTTTGCGGCCCTCCTTTAAAACCCGGGGACACTGCATATGCTGAAATTGCTGTTTGTGTGGGGAAACTGATGATAAGTCCGTGGATTTTGGGTTCCGTGAACATTTTCAGAGACCCATATGGGTCTTGCCTCCGTTGCCTCCGTGTCCTGACTTCCCAGACTTGGTTTAAAAGGACAAACATACAGGTTTCACACCTTTTTTGTGCACTTTCGAACATCACAACGAGACCAATCTATGAATATGCCTGAACTTTTTCATAACTAGCATGTATTCTTGGTAGATAGACACAAGTAATCAGCCGGGACAACCCAAATATACCATATGGTTCTTACCTATAACAACCCCCAAAAGAGGCAGCATTTTGCTAAAATCCCAGTAGAATGGTGGTAAATTCAACGTTTTCTGAATCTTTATCATCTTTCTGGCATTGAATTGAAATAGTAATAAGTTGTATTTTTTTCCTACTAAATAGTCGTGAAAAATAGAGTTGCAATTTCCAGAGTAGTAAACCCAACTGACATAGTGAAAAAATATCTTGCAATATGTTACAGTACCCAACTTTGCTATCATAAATCGATGAACTACCTCATAAATCCAGTGAAAAATCCCGTGATTTTCGGGTGCCTATCCAAGGCCATGGATTCGCGTTGTGCTTCAAC